CATCTGTCTTGGGTTGATGTGGATCCCACTGATGTGCTGCCTCTACATTCAATTAAATGTTCTGTGTGTAGTGTGCTATGTATACTCACATTGACAACTGCCTCTTTAGTCTGAGCCATGTCTGAGATGACGCCGTCTGTGATCATCAGCAGCACAAAGTACTGTGAGCCATCAGTCACTTCTGCAGCACTCCTTACAGCATAAAACACACAAACATGCAAATGTTAGGCCCCGAACATGTTCCATGCACACATGCCTGAGCAAAACTGTTGCTTTGGTTAAAATAACCAACAGATAATATTGTTTTATGTGCATGGGATATGTACATGTTCAACTATGGCTGATCACCAATAGAGGCTTTGAAGGAAATGCAAACATCAGATGTAACTTTCTCTGGTTTTTTTGCTCTCAGTTGCAAAGTACCTGCTCAGAAGTGTGATATTTCAGGTGACTGAAGTGTGTGAGATCAAACTTTGAAAGTTCCTGCATTTGTGCACATATGTCTAACATGTTTTGGGTCTTATGATTTATTTGTGTACATAGATATGCACTTTGGTATGTTATCATACATCACTGATGTGGTGGTATTAAGTACTGCAGGTGTGCTGTGTTCAATATCTGTGTGAAAAAGGGATCTAAGCATGAAACAGCAGTATCCAACCAAGTTCTTTTAATCAAACGAGTGAAACTGCAGTCGATCGGAAAATTGCTGAAGTGACTTAAATAAATATAGACATTAGTCTGATATACTCTGCATGTCCATCCATAAATCGATTAATCCACTAATTCGTCCTTCCATCTGTCCATTCAGTCACTAGCTGTTCCCTGCCCTTTTAAACTACGGAGTTATAGAGAGCAAGGCAAATGTTTCTTCAAAAGCAGTTTATATAACTTTATTAAACCCTTTGATATATACCACTCAGCTGAATAAAATAAAACAACCCTCATGTTTAGCGTATCATTCATTGCCTGCAATAATAACACTGTTGTTCTAATAAGAGCAGCTGTGTGTGACTATAAGTAGTTACGTACATATGGATTACACCATTAATGTTCCTCCTCTGCTCTCTGTCTTCATCACTATTCTTAACCTCCCACATAGATAACAATGAAGAAGTAGTGGGTGAAGAGGTGATGGAAGATGAGGACACAGAGGAGGAGCAGCATGAGCAAGCACTAGAAAGGGAGGAAAAAGAGCAGTAAATAATAGATAGCAAAAAGAAATGGAAACAGATGGGAGAGTGAGGAAGACAAAGAACAAATAGAGAAGACAGAAGTAAAAAAATGCATCAAAGAAAAAGTGCAAATGAAACGTGTGAGTACAGGAAGTGAGATTAAAAGAGAGAATGCATTTTCTGTTCTTTTTCTAAACGGTTGGCAGTTTTGAATCTCACAGCTTAACAGTACTGCTATACTCATTTGATTATGCAACCACAATCACACTTAACTGGGACAGGATATGATTGCTTTATATGAGGACTAAAAATACAATAGTAGGCAATAAACAACCACAATCCATTAAAAACATAACACGAGCTGTAGTTGTGCTGTAGAAAAGTTTTAAAATCCAATTTGCTCCTGAATGAGCTGGTAGACTATGATGCAGGATTAAGGGGGGGGGGGGATAATGTGGATACGCAGTTGTTCAGAGGATGTTGAAAACCAATAAAAATCACTTAGTGTCTGACACATAGGCCTTAAATATTTCATGAGAAAACTGCATTAACAGTTAAATGGAAAGACAAAATAAAAATCTTAATTAGGTGCAGTTATTGAAGAAAGGTATGAGGCCACCAACATATTGTATCTACAGAAGCTACTCAGACATGAACATTTACGCCATGAAGCTGCTGATCACAATTTTTACGCAAATACTAATAATACTAATGCCCATCTGCAACACTTTGTGGTTTGCCATTTAGTGGTTGATAAATGCTTCCACTCCAATAATGCCGCGTACATGTACAGCTGATCATGGGATGTCTAGGAGGGAACAAATTGCACAATGTGTTGCAGAGTTGTCATCTCATTAAGGGACCATGCAAGAATTTTGTGAGTTCTTTGGAGCAATCTGTTCTTTCACAAATGTTTGGTGCTTGCATTTATCCCCACACCCCATCCCTGCCCACCCACCTCACCAATCTGAGCCATGGACTGAGTAACCCTCATCACTCAGGTCACTCACATACAGGCTCCATACTCAGACCAAGGCCTTCCAAGCACTTTGCTCTCTGTGCCTTTCTCTTGTTTTGTACATGTTCCTCTAGTTTGTATATTTCCTCTTGAGTGTATACATCTCTTCTGTTTGTTATTTTTTCCTGATGTCCTACATTTGTTGTAAAGAACCCATAATTTTGTTGTTCATGTACAGTGTTGGGGAGTAAC